CAAAAAGCGCGAAGAGAGGACCTGCTCTAGATTAAGGGACCATCAAGAGACATATCAAATAATGCAGTGTGTTCTGATTAGAACAAACCCACTGTAAAAAGTCATTTGATTATAAAAACAATTGGGTAATTATGGACTTGCTTATTTATTATTAGACATTACCAAGGAATTAAGTGTAATAATGGAATAGTGGTTTTATTAAATTAAGTCCTTTTTTAGAAATGCATACTAAAGTATATATGGGTATGATTCAGTGTCTGAGATTTGCTTTTAAGTACTTCAATGAAAGAAAAAATGGAATAGATTAAACAAATATGGCAGCATCTTATTCATTATCCAATCGTGGTTGTGTGTGTCTGTATTTATGATACTACTCCCTGTTTGTATGTTTGAAATGTTCATAATAAAAAAGTTAAAGTTTGTTGAGAGAATGAAAGGGGGCCCCAACTAAGAAAAATTCCAGAATAAGTTGGAAAGAAGCATTTTTATTCAAGGCTGGGGTAAAAGCCTTGTTTAGATTCAGTAACTAGGACAGTTAAACATGGGTGAGAAATGTACCAAACCACTCCCAACTGTTTAGACACCAAGTAGAACATTCCTTATGATAAGTATGTGTTTTTTGTTTTTTAAAACAAAAGACTCATTAATGCTAGGGGCTTCTGGATACTGTTAATATTCTATTTCTTGAGCTGAGCAGTGGTTAGTTACATGGGTGTTCACTTTATAACTATTTGTTAGTCTGTATGTATACATCTCATGCACATTTTTATCTGTATATTACATTTCACACTTTAAAATGTTAAATTTTTCAAATCATAATTGAATGGTAAAACATGGCACTCTTTCTCCCAATCCAATGCAGCCTGGACTTGTTAAGCAGACCACAGGAACCCACTAAGGTGCTTTTGCCCACCTGGTGGTGCAGTACTGTAATTTCAGAGAAAGAAACAGGAGGAAATAAGGAACTTTTAAAATCTTCTAAAATGTGCTTATCTCCTCACCTGCTCAGGGGATGTAAACAGAATGGTACAGGCAGAAGGGAACCAGGGTTCTCCCATTCCTGGAATGTTGGAGTTGATTAAAAATGGAGGACTGTGGCTAGAAGTGTATTACGCAGCTTCCCCTGTCTTCTCCACCTACAGCTCTGCCTGTTGGATGCTATGTGCTTATCTCATAGAGACATGCCTTTTTTGAAGAACTCTTTCTTTCCCCTCCTAAGGGAGGAAGGTTGCTTCAGGGTGGAGGGTAGGGTGGGGGGCTTGAGTCCAGCTGGCGTCTCCCACCCTCTTTTGCAAGCCCTTCTTTCCTCATCGCGGTTCCCTGTCATCTCCAACGACCTCAACAGAACAATCCTTTCTCCCGAGGCCTTAGAAGGACATGAGTTGGAGGCCAACTAAGGGCAAATCAAGATAGCAGGAGCCCAGGTCAATATCTCTGTGTTCAAGAGAAAGTCTGAGAGCCTTAGCCTGGCATTCAGGGTCTGGCCTATGTCAGAGGAGTATCCTTCACCCAGGCCACAACAAATTGCTTCTGCCATGCTCCAAATGCATCTTGCCTTCTGGGACCTTCAAGCCTTTGTACAGGCTGTTTCACTTACCTAGGCACCATTTTTTATTTAATCAAGATGCTCATGGTATTAATTTTATGTCTTGACTTTATTATGAACACTTTACAAATATTACCTCATTTATCTTCACAACCCTATGTTGTAAGCAGTATTACTACCTCATTTAACAGATAAGGAACTTGAGGTGCAAGGAAGTTAAGAGACACAGATTCAAACCCCAGCAGCCTGGAGCCAAAGTCAGTGCTTTTAGCCACCATACTATGTTGCCTCTTAAACTTCTTCCAACTCACTTCCACTTCTTCCACACTTATCCTGGGTATCACCACCTCTCCCCACACTGGCCTTGACATCTTCCAGCTCCCACAGCTCCCAAATCCCACTTTTGCCTCCCATTATGTGAAACATTCTGACTGCTTGTTCTACTTTTTCATTTTTAAAAACTTTTAAAAATTGAAGCATAACACATATAAAGAAAAGTACAATAGGCATAAATGTACAGCTCTCAATGAATTGTTACTAAGTAACCACCCATGTAATCAGCACCGAAATCAAGAAACAGAACATTCCCAGCACCTGAGAAAGTCTCCTTGGGCCTCCTACTCAGGGCCCAAAGGCAATCAAGATTCTGACTTCTATCACCATAGATTAGTTTCACCTGTTTTAGACCTTTCTATAAATGGAACCAAAAGGGTATGTGCTCTTTTGTGTCTGGTTTATGCTCCTCAGCATAATGTTTACAGAATCCATCCATATTGTTGTATGCAGTTGTGAGGCATTTCTTCTCATTGATGTGTAATATCGAATCCTGTGAATATACTACAATTTATTTATGATTCTTCTGTTAATGACATTTGGGTTGTTTCCAGTTTAACTATTACAAATAGTTGTAGCTATTTATTACAAATAGCTTTTATGAAATGAACGTTACTGTATATGCCTTTTCGTAAACATATATTAGCATTTGTGTTGGGCATATACCTAGGAGTAGGATCACTGGGTTATGGGATGTGTGTATGGTCACCCTTAGTAAATATTGCTAACCAGGTTCCAAAGTGATTATATCAGCTATATCTCATCAGGATTGTATGAGAATTTCAGTCACTCCACATTCTCACATCCAGTATTATCTTTCTCTTTTTAGTCATTCTAGTGAGTGTGGTTTTATTTCATATTTTCTTGACTACTAAATGACATTGTATGTTTATATCTTCCTTTCTAATCTTTATGTCTTTTATTTATTTTCTTGCTTTAGTGTGCTGGCCAGGACCTCCAGTACAATTTGAATAGAAGTGGTTATAGCGGGCATCTTTGCCTCATTCCCTATGTTAGAGGGAAAGCATTCAACGTTTCCACATTAGGTATGATATTTGCTATAGATTTTTTGTAGATAATGTACATTAAATTAAGGAACTTCCCTTATATTCTTAGCAAACTTACGTTTGCTAAGTTTTTTGTCATGATGCTTTTTTTTTTCATCTATTGAAATGATCATATGATTTTTCTTCAATTCCCCGGAAAATTCTGTGTAAAATTAGAAAAGTGATGGGGTTTCTTTCCTTATTTTGTAAAATTCACCATTGGCAGTTTCTGGGTCTGGAGGTTTCTTTGTGGAAAGCTTTTTAAATTATAAATTCAATGATTTAATAGTTATAGGATTATTCAGATAAAAAATTTTTCTTGTGCAAGTTTTAGTAAATTGTATTTTTCTAGGAATGTCCCCATCTTATCAAAATTTTCAAATTTATTAGTATAAAGTTCTTCATAATACTGCCTTATTGTATTTTTTAATGTATATCCAACCCATATTGTAGTGCCCCCTTTTGTTCCTGATACTAGTTATGTGCCTTCTATTTTTTTTTTCTGGATCAGTCTCAGGGATTTATCATTTTTCTAGTTTTTTTTCAAAGAATCAACTTTTAGCTTTGTCAATACTCTGTTGTGGTTCTGTTTTCTGTTTCATTGATTTCTCTCTTATCTCTGTTATTTCTCTCCTTCTACTTTCTTTAATTTGCTTTGTCTAACTTCTTGAGATGGATTTTCAGCCTTTTTAAAGAATAATATATATTTAAGGCTATAATTTCTCTCTAAGCATAGCCTTAGCAGCATCCAACAGAATTTCAGATATAATATTTTCATTATCACTCAGTTCAAAATATTTTCTAATTTCCATTGTGAATTTATATTTGACTCATGGGTTTTCTTCCCTCTCCAAAGCATGATGCCCAAACATAACAATAACCACCTGAGGGCCGTGTCAAAATACAGGTTTTGGAGCTTCATCTCAAACCTCCTAAATTAGTATTTCTGGGAGGTAGGCCTGGGTTTCACAAACTCTATGGGGGTTCAGATGCAGGTGGATTGCAGGACCACAGCTTGGCAGTGGAGCAAGGGTTTCCTAAGGGCAGAGAGCAAGTCTGATTCACCTACATTGTCAGTGCCCACCACTGGACCTAGCATACAGCCATGCTTAATAAATGAGTGAACTAATGAATGAGGGAAGAAAGAAAATAGAAGAAAATTGCTTATATCAAGGGAACTGGAATTCTTAAATGCTATAAATTAGGGGAACCACTATGGCATCATTTGGTCCCAATTTAATCTATTCAGGACAGAAGTATTTCTTCCTTGCCTTCGAACCTCTGCCTACAAGGCTTCTCCTCCCCTGGCCCATTCTGCTGTCCTGGAACGTGGCCATAACTATGGGTGCGTATCTGTCTACTGGCCCAGAGAAAGTAGGGGTGGCACGGGAGATGACGTCCTGAGAAGGGCTGTTCAGAGATGGGCAGCGCTCCCTGCCACGCCCCCGCCCCCACCCCCTCCCACCTACAGGCCTTGCTGGGAAAATGCCCATAGAACCCATTCTAAATAAGGTTGTCTATCCTACCTCTCAGAGCTTTAAGGATCCCTCCCAAGCGAAAGCTTTTGAGAAACTTCCACAGGACCTTTCTGCTCTGACCCCAACCGTAGATCCCCCCACCCCTGCCTCCTCTGCACTTGTAGCCCATGCACTTCTCCCCACCTCCACGCATGCCTCTCTCCAGCATCTCAGAAAGGCCGGAGTCTGAATTCCCCAGGCAGCTATTGTCCTGGCAGCACAGCCGCCACGCCAGCATCCCCACCCAGTCGGCCTGCCAGCCAGCCGGGTCCTCCCCGGCCTCACCAGCCCCCCTTCCCCGCCCCGCCCCGCCCCGCTCCGCCCCAGGGAGGACCAGGCTGGCGGCTGGGAGTCTCCCTGCCTGCTCAGCCTCCCTCCTTCCCTCCCTCCCTCTCCCTCCCTGCCTCCCTCCCTCCTCCGCCCGCCCCTGAGGCAGGGACCGTGCAAATCGAGGAGAGGGGGGACGGACAGCCCAGATGGGGTCCAGCTTAGTGCCCTGGGCTCCCCGCCGATGCCTTATCCAGGCTGGGTGTCCCCAGCATCTTGGGACCTAAATTTGTGTAAGCTGGGGTGCTTCCCAGGCCTGGAGGGTCCCTCCGGCAGGCCCACGGTGCCCCTGTTTTGCATCAGGACCCCCCCCCTCGGATGCTCTGAGCCACCCTCCTCAACCCGGATCTAAAACCCGGGACACAGCTATCAGGCCAGCCTCTCTCTCCACCCCACCCCCTCTTTCTGGCGTCCATCCCCTCCCCAACTCCACCTCTGCTGCTGCCTCTGGCTGTGGACCTGCACCTCTTCCCCATCCCCGACAGGCCTGGGGATCGAGGTGAGCCTGGATGAGAGCTCCCACAACCTGGGGCTCTCCCAGGCCATGGCCCGAGTGCTCCCAGGGAGGAGCCCCAGACCCTGAGCATCTGCTGGAGGCTTGGCAGAGGCCCCGCGGGGACCGTGTCTTCTGAGGACAAAAGGCGGCGGCCAGCGGGCAGACAGGGAGGGGGAAGGGGGGACCGGCAGCCAGGTGGGCAGACGGGTAGCAGGGGCCAGTGCTGGCCCCCCTCCCAGCTTGGCGGTGGCGTGAAGATGGGGGTGGGAGTGTGTAGTTGGGGAAGCACCTGCCTGGACCCCCACCTGCCAGCTAGCTGGGCACCCCAAGGCTGTGTGCTGCCCACCTGGTGTTCCCCAACACCCCCAGCCCTGCCCAGTGCACTCCTTCAGTGCCTGCTTCCCCTGATGTCTGCGATTTAGACCAGCCCGGCTGTATCCACGGCAACAGAAGCAGGAATGTCACTGGCTGCCAGCTCACGGAGGGTCCCACAATGTGGCCTGGGCTGTGATTTATCCTGAGTGAGACAGCTTGAGCCCCCTCCCTCGATTCCAAGACAGCCCTGCTGAGAGAGCCAAGGTAAGTAGTCAGCGTCCCTCCACCGAGGATGGGGGGCTGGGACTTCTGTCTCCCCACACATATTCCAGAGTCTCCATCACTGCCATGCTCTCTGTCTCTCTCTGGTTCTGTTAGTCTCTCTCTCTTTCTACTCCATCACAAGGGCTACTTGGGCACTCAAGCCTGGAGAGTCCTCTAGCCATCCCCATCTTCCTCAATCCCAAATGTCCCGTGAGGAAGGGAACCACCACCTGTTTCCCCGTACAAGGTCTGTTTTTATCATTATGGTCACATTTGAGCATGAGGCTGTGTTAATATTTCCTTGTGTGCTGTCTGTGGAAGGCATGCCTGGAGCCCGGCTGTGCTCCCCTCATGATGCCTGCACCCTGGGCAGGCTCAGCCTCCTGCAGCTGCCTCCTCTCCCTCTCCCTCCTCTTCCACTCTCCGACAGCTTCCTTGGCCAGCATGCAGGGTGTATGTGTGTCTGCCTGAGTGTGTGAGCTGGCAGGTGAGTAGACGTGACAGAGAAGCTGCTCCCAGCCCAGACCACCCCCCACTCCTTGTTTCCTTCTTTCCTTCCTTCCTTCTTTCCTTCCTTCCTTCCCCTGTCTCTGCCCACAAGTAGCACTGACTTTTGCTCACTCACCAGGGAAGATACTGCTGTGATTTCCAGCAAGGGGGAGGAAGCCACTGTAGGGCTAAAAGGAAGGTGAGGTGGGGGTGGGGAGCACTTCCAGGCCCTAGTCTGCTTGATGCCTTGGTGGAGGCAAGGACCATGCCACACAACATCCTGCAGGGGCCAGACACAACATGGTTGTCCCCACAGTGTGGGCCCCAGCCTTCATCCAAGGCTCTCAGTCTGTTTCGGACTCCCATGTTGTGTCTGGGATTCCCCAGATATTATGGCCTTGTGGTCCCTCTGTCTGAAGAAGCAGGAAAGCCTGGTATATGGAGAACATGGATTCTTCAGGGACACCTCCCTCAACTACTGGCTCTGCAACTTTAGTGAAAGTGTGCTACTTATTGAACCTTAGTTTTCTCATCTGTCAAAGAGACTGGTAACCCTTCCTTCATGGCTGTGTGTAGTGACTAAATGAGTTGGTGCATGTAAGTAAAGGATGTGTATAGAAGTGGCCCTGAAGCAATGTCAGCAAAGCTCATGGTCAATATTGTTGCTGATTGTTCATGATTAATATTGTCATTAATTATTTGGGGGAAGGACTGGCCCCTCTTCTCCAGGGTCTTGGCTGAGATCTGGGGAGGGCAGCAGGTAGGTAAATGGAGGAGGGGAAGGGGAGGCAGGAGCAACTCTGTGTTGTTACTCCTCATTTGTAAGGAGGAATAAGTGGTGGCTGTGGGCAGAGCCTCCTGCCCCCACCCTCCTCCAGGCTCCTTTCCTGCACTTTCCCCTGTCTGTGCACACACACACACAGAGGCTCTAGCCCCCGTGAGCTAGCAGAGGCCTGGCTTGCAGCCTGCAGCATTGCTGACTCTGGTGATATATGCATCTCCCTGTTGAGGGGAGACTTGGCAAGAGTTTGGCCTGTGGTCAGTGGTTGGCAGGGCGTGGGGACAGGGCTGAAGCTTCTGAGATCACAGGGCTTCGGGTGTGGCCCATGCAGCAGCCAGAGCTGTGGGGGACGGGTCCCAGGGAGTCACTAACATAGAGCCTAGGCTGGAGGGACAGTTGGGTCTGCTGGCTGGTTTCTGGGTGTGAGATGTGGTAGAACACTGAGTGAGGGGTCAGTGGCCGGAGGAGAGTCCTCAAGGCCAGGGGAGCATTAGAAAGAGGGGAAACACTGAGGCCCAGAAGACCTCCTCTGTGGGGGCAGGGAGGGGTGGGATATATAGAGTAGGCTTATGGAGTAGACTTTTCTGAAGAAGCATTAGGTGCAGAAGGGAGAGAACCCCACCTGTGGTCCAGAGGCATCTAGGCCTGAGCGTGGGTGTATATGTGCAACTGAAAACATATAGCTGTGTGTGTCTGTCTGTTCATGGGCACTACGAATGTGTATGAGTCTGTGTGTGTTAGCAGGTCACATGATGGTGTGAAAGTGTGTGGGTGTCTGGGTAGGATGGTGTGTGTACAAGGGAGTGGGTATGACTTTGCATGTCTGTGTGGGTGAGCAAATGGGCATGTTGGATCCTGAGCCTCAGTGAGGGTGTGTTTCTCTGAGCCAATAGGCCTGTTGAATGTCTGGCTAAATATATGTATGTGGTATACATTTGTCTTTGAGTGTACATGTCTGATTGTATGTGTATGAGTGTGAGGGTTTCAGAATGCCTGGGTGTACATGTCCTATTAGGTGATTGTCCAGATATATCTGATTGTGTATATTTGTGTATGCCCCTGTGTGCATATGAATACAAGTGCATCTAAATGGTGTGTTTGTAAGTGTAAGGGCATGTGTATGTGTGTATGGCCATGCATGTATGGGAGGGTAAGTGTGGATACACATGCTTCTGTGTGGGTGTGCCTGTCGTGTATATGTATGAGTAGGCCTGTGTGTGAATGTCTTTGTGGATTCTCCAGCATTTTGAATTATGTCTACGTCTGTGTGTGCATGTTTGAATACATATTGTCTGTAGACAGACCCATGGGTCTACATCTGATTAGGGAAATGTTAGTGTAGATGGTCACACTAGTATAAGGATAACTAATTGTGTGGGTAGGGGAGAGTGTGTGAATGCACATGTTTTGTGCATGAAAGTATGCCTTGTGGTTTGCCTATGTGTGCACATTTGATTATATATATGGGTATGGCTGGGGGGCTGTACACCTTTAAATATATGCACAAAAAGCTGTGTGCATAGGTAAATGGCTGCATTCATGTATATGTCTAGTTGTGTTTCTGGGTACACTGTTGTACCTCTGAGCGTACATCTCTGAGCGTGGTGTGAGTGCATCTCTTAGTGTGAGTGTGCACTCACACTCACTCAGTGTGGTGTGTGCATGAGTAACTACAACTCATAATACTTGGATGCACCTGTCTCATTATGTATTTTGTTTGAATTTCTGAGTGAATGTGAATGTGTGTGTGGAAATGCCTGTGAGTGACTGAGTGAATGTGTGTGTATATGCTAGTATGTGTGAACATCTAGCTGTGTGTGCACTTGAGTGAACATGTCTGTATATTTACCTGTGTATTCACACACATCTAAGTGTATGTGTGTGTAAATATGCCTGGGCGTGTGTCTGTCTGAATGTACAGGTGGTGTCTGAACTGCACCAATTTGTATAGTTCTAATTATTTGCATATGTGTATTTGTATTTATCTACCATTGTTTGTTCTGGAGCATATGTTGTAGAACCGTGTAAGTGAATGTACATACACACCACTCTTGGCCTATAAGTGCGTTTGAGTGTGTGTGTGTGAGGTTGTCTTTGCATGTGTGTGTCTGTAATGAGTGTTAGCAATTCTTCTTGTGCAGATGTACAAGTGTGTGAGAATATGTGACTATTCTTCCATGTGTGCATGAGTCTTCTTTTGTTTGCATATTTTCTCATGGGTGTATGAACATGTGTCAACATAAATGGTGTGCGTAATTGTGTTTTGTAAGTACATTTGTGTCTCCATGTCTGATTCTGTGCATGCAGAAATGAATGAGGTACAAGCCTAAGTTCATGTGAATACGCTTATAGGTGTACATGCCCAGTTGTGTGTATAAGTCTATGTGTGTTAGAATGTCCGTGTATGAGTACACCATCTAATTGACAAGCATGTGCACATCTGGGTGTTCATTTGTGTGAGTACATCCTGGTGTGAGTATGTGTGAATATGCTTATGTGGTCATGTCTGGGGCTGTATGTGTATACATTTGGGAGCTCACCTCTGTGTGTCGTGTTTGTTCATTGTCTCACTGGGTGTGATACAGAGTCTGCCTGTCTGTGGACATATGTAAATATGCCTGTGTGTACGCCTGTGTTTGTGAGTGAAAGTATGTCCTTCATGGGCATTATGTCATATGAGTATATGCTATGCATATATGTCTGTGTTTGAGAATAAATGGATGTGCATATGTGGGACCAAGTGCAGTGTGAGTGTGCACTGCTGTGGGTGTGCCTGTTGTAGGGATGAGTGTAGGTATTTGTGCATGTGCCTGTCTCATGGTATGTATGTGAGAGAGGGAGAAAGATTTGGCCTTGGGCTTGTGCAGATAGGCCTTATCATTGAGAGGGTGATAAGGGGGGGTACTTATGAGTCTGTGTGATGCTATGTGTACTCCAGCGTGTATTTATGTGCCTGTCTGAAAGTCAGGTACCCTGCTAGACTATGTCTGGCTCTAATTGTGTAGACATCCTAGATGATGGAAGCCAAAACACTTGAGCAATCCATGACCCCCTTCTGGGGTTTCTCTGGCCTTGACCATGTGCTGGGCTTCTGTGAGGGTCTCAGGAGAATTCCTGTCATCATTCACACTCAAGAAGTAAGAACCAAAAATGACTGATATCCTACTAGGGAAGGGGGCCTGTGACCTCTTTAGAAAAGGATTTCTTGAAACACAAAGACCTCATTTCCCATCCTCCCCCCACCATCAAAGGCCCAGGACAAAATGGCATTGTATGGTATCAAGGGTTGGTAAATGGTTTTCACACACAACACCCAAGTTGTGCTATCCAGGGAGAAATCTAGATCTAAATGTGTATGTATAAGTGAAAAGTGAAGGTATATTCAGGTAAAGTGGGGTGTGTGTGTGGAGTGGGTGCTATATTTGTTGAGAGAGAAAAAGAGAGAGAGAGAGAGAGAGAGAGAGAAGGGATCTGGGTTGTGTGTATGTAAGAGAGAGCCTGGGCGTATCTGGGTAGGGTTTGAGTGTGAGACATTTGGGTGTATTTGAGAGGGATGAGTGTGGATGTGGGTGTGTGTGAATGGTGCATTTGTGAGGCACTATGAGACCATTGGCCTATTTCGGTGGAGGATGGTATAAGTAACATTTTGGGTGTGGCTGTGTGGGAATATGTGTGAGGATATATATATTTGAGGGGTATGTAGGTATGCGTGTATCTGGATGGCGCAAGA